TGCATTTAACAACAGAGTCCCACATATGAAATTTTGCAGACCATTTAATGTGTGCTATTGCATTTAGGCTCTTTGAATACAAAAGTGTAAGAGCAGATTTGCCCCCTTTGTACATTTCCATGATTATACTAGGTAAAGTTTATTATGGCAACTTCTTGATTTTTCATTTGATAAACCTTTTAATCCAAATTCATTTTTGGTAAGTTTAATTAGTCAATTAAGACCTGAAGTACCACTCAAAGTTGATAAATATCTGCCTCAAATACTGCTAATATAAAATAATTCAAAGAAATGGCAATAAGAAAATATTTAGGTAGATGACAAGTATGACTAGAAAGGCTGTCAGGGCCAAACTAAAATATAATTTGCTATGCTTTAAAATGGTCCATCAATATATTTTACCCCCAGATTTTCTTTATTCTCTTGTCTTTCATTTTCTATAAAATGAGTGATAGCTTGCATCTGACAATGGTTTTAAAACAAGCTAATCTTAAACTCAACAGTCATAAAAATATTAGTTGGTGGTAATGAATATACTCATCCTATTATAAGATTTAAAACCTAAAAAGTGCACTAGCCCTTATGGTTGGTGCCTGATTATAGGAAAGTGTCCCGAGGACCAGAAAAACCCACTCAGCCACTATAGTGCAGCCTTCTGAGAAGTGATGCACACTCCTGGCTAGGAGGACTGCCACTGGTCAAACTCGGTGAGCTACAGCTCCTGCAATGACATATGCCACTAAGCCTGCAGTAAGCCGCATTAAAATCTGCCTTCCTCCAATGCATGAAGATTGTAGTGCAGGGAGAGAGTAAGCACAAGTCCAATGATTTCAGCAGCTCCCTCAGCCTGTTTATGTGAATTTTCTCACTTCCTCACTCAGTCCAACTCCAGCTCCTTCCTCTGCCCTTTTGTTGTTACTGTGGTGTGCATGTCAGTTGCTGCCTCATGCCGTATCTGTAGACCACCTTTCTTTCTACAGATTTCCTGAATTTTTGGCCTAACATTCTCTTTTCCTCCATTTTCCCTTTTCAATTTGATTGCGTCACATGTTCCTCACCTCATAGATCAGGGTCCCTAGAGTAGCAAAGAGATACTTGGTGATGCATATGGCTGGTATATTCAAGAATAACTACTTACTGCTATTTGTATTGTTCTGCTAGATGACTGCTGGACGGATACATATCCTGGGTGACAGTGTACATCCTGACACATGAGATCAGACGTTCCTGGCTAAAAGAGTTCATTGAGACTGTGCATACACACTTGCCAGTGTCCTCAGGCCCTCAGCCAAGACTATATATGGAGTGCAGCCCCAACATTCACTACATTTCTTACACTAAGTCAAGAATTTATCAAATTCCAAAATAACAGGGAAAGGTGAGGGAAGTCTAGATACACTGAGGCAATCATCTGAGAAAGAGTCACACTATGGTAAGCAATTGTTTTTTCTCCTTCACTCAGTGTGTTTAACAAGCAGTGTCAAACTGAAGGAGAGCGTAAGGAATTTAAACTGAATTCTTGATAACAAGACTGTGCACCTACATTAAGTGGTGTAATTCTCTCAACCACCACAAATGTTAGAAATACTGGGAATTTAAAGTTAATGTCACACATAATAACCATTAGAAAGTATTAATATGAACAGTTAAAGTCACCTAAACAACTTCAACTTTTTCTGCCTCCAGCCAACCATTTCATCTCGTATACTCATTGGGCCTTGCATTTAGGAAGGAAACATTCTGATGAAGAACTTCTGGATAAAGAAACTTTAAAGTTTATAGTCTGCAGCTTCTGACATCTTAAATTGGCATAGTTTGCCTATGGAGTTTAAGATCCTATGTATTTTTGTATATATGGGTTCATAATAGACAGTTTAAGGCCAGAAGGAACCATCATGATCATCTAGTCTGGCCTTCTGCACATTGCAGGCCACAGAACCCCACCCAGCCACTCCAATAGTAGGTCCATAACCTTGTGCATAGTTACTAAAGTACTCAAATCTATATACAAGTGTAATTGCCTATCGTTCTGCACCATTGTTGTGTAAGTTTTCTAATTTTGCTCCAATAGTCAGAACAGGGTCTTAACCAGAGAAAATATTATACAAATAGATAGCTATCTACGCTAACTTTCACAATATGGCAACGCTTTTACATATGAAACCGCCCACACTCTTGCCCATCTGACCTAAACAATGATTCTGATTGTGGGTATTTTTTTCTGGCAACTTCATATGGTCTTAAAGAAGGTGGGAGTAGTTTGCTGTAAAGACGGGTGCGCTTCAGTTAATGCTAGAGTAATGTAGAAATGAGAAAGGTTTAATAACTAATGATTTTTAAGTGAGTGGATGCTGCTCCCTGCTATGCAAAAGAGATATTAAACTTTCATATTCTTGACCTGTGTCATGTGACTGGAGCCCAGGAAATGAAGATCACACTCTGACCAGCACTCCTGTGTATCAAATCTATTATGTAGTGTCAGAAGAAAACTGAATCTTTGGCAAAAATAGAGCAAATGAAGACATCCCTCAGTCTGCAAAGGAAACTGGAAGAGAACTGGAGGTGGTAGCAGAATTTCCGAATTTTCCTGGAAGCAGGTGGTATTGCAGAGAAACTGGAGATGGTCAAATTCTTTACAATACTACAAGTGGCAGGCCCAGAGGCTTTGGAGATCTATAATGCAATCCAGTAGAAGAAAATGATTGTAAACAGCAAACCAAAATTTCAAGAATACGCTGAGTCATGCAAAAATGTCACTTATGTAGGCACATTTTCTTTACTAGGAACAAGTTGCCAGGTGTATCATTGAGCCTTATGCTAAAGAGCTATGTATTAGACCTAAATCATATCAATTTGAACTGTTAACTAGATGAAGCAATTAAAGACCAAATTATTTGTGGTATAACTGATAAACAAGTCAAAGCAAAGTTATATTATGAAAAACTGAAATTAGTGATAGAACTGAAGTTCGTCTAATTAAAAATACATACCAAGGCATAAAAAAGTAAACAAACAGCAGAGACCATATATATTTGTAAGAAATGCAGAGGAATCATCACACAAAGATTTCCAGCACAAGGAGTGCAATGTCATGCATGCAATAAAAAAATTAAATATGTTACTCTCAACACAAATTGCAAAGAAATATAAAATACATTCAAGCAAAATATATTAATGAACATATAGCTGAAGGACAAATCACTGTGGTACAAAAAATCAGTTCTTTGTTGGTTCTCAATAAATTTGCAAAGCAATTTTCTACAAAAAGATTGGTATGTGGCATGAGAAATAAATTAAAAATTTAAAATTAACTTTTAAAGAATGTGGTGAGATATTTAATGGACTGGGATGCACTACGTATATGACATCACACAGAGAGATCCCCAAAAACGGAAACACTTTCCAGCTTCCAAAGTTACATCTTTAATGTATTTACCATCAACTTGCCTTAATAGTCTGCACTACATTTTTATTATATCTATATAAGCTCAAGAATCTCCTTTCTTATGTAACAGTGCTAGCAGATATTCAATGGATAGATGATAGCCTTTTTATTTGGAAGCAGATTGACAGGTTACACTGAATATCTGTGTGACTGATCTGAATGGCAAAATGTCATCTGGAAACAGTCCAGGTAAGGCGAATACATCCACTTAGATACATTTATGAAACATTTTACGAGTGGGTGGATATGTTACAGTCCGAGGATGAGATTTTCAAAGCAGTGTAGATGACTTACACAGGTCTTCCTTTGTAACTAATGGAAGATTTGTGGCTAAGACCCCTGCATTGCTCCGAAAATCTCAACCCTAGTTTTCACTTTTGTTTTTGTGAAGTCAAAATCAGGTTTCTCAGGCTTACCTGTGAAAACGGATTATAAACATATAGTATTTGAAATATGGCTGGATTCAAGTTATTATGGGAACCTTAATTTTTGCACTACCTATCTTTAGTTCTAAGATTCATAACCTTAGTGTTGCATTTAATCTAAATATGTCAAAAGTGTTTGTGCAAAAAGTCTCAACTTATGTTATAGACTTAAGAAGATCACTATTTAGCTTATCAGAGAAGCTGAAGAGGTGACTACATCACAGTCCATAAGTACCTATGCAAGGAGAAGATTTCTGATAGTAGATGACTCTTTAATCTATCTGACAAAGAGTTAAGATTTGATGGCTGGAAGTTGGAGTTAGAAAATTGAAAATGGAAATAAGGCATAATTTTTATTTTATTTTATTAAACACTGACGTTAATTAATACTTGGAACAACCTACCGAGGGATGCGAAGGATTCTCCACTCTCTGAAGTCTTTAAATCAAGACCTGATACCTTTCTAAAATATATGCTCCTGCTCAACAAGATGTTATGGGCTTAATGCAGGAATTATGGTGTAAAATTTTATGGCCTGTTATATAAAGGAGGATGTTGACTAGAGGATCACAACAACAACAAAAATATCTATGAATCAAATGAACACTGGAATTTAATTTTAAGTGGTATAGTGTAAGTATCCTCATCACTCCAGTGGTTGCTATAACCCATATAAAAAAAAATTAATTCCAGTTCCTTTGTATATTACAAGTTTATACACAATTCCTCATCTTTAGAAACTGCCTTCTGATTTTAAATCCACTCAGCATTGTAGCTGCTGTCATTAGTCTCTAATCTTGCAATATGATACTCGTTTGGTCCTCCCCAGGCTTATTTCCCCATAATGATGGAAAAAGAAAGGAGAGAAGAGAAAAAACAACTGAGGGAATAAGAGGGGACATACAAGGGTAAATGTTTGTAAAAGGAAGAGCAAATCAAACTGACCAATACTATTATTGCATATAACATTCTCATATCTTCCTGGCTTACATAAAGTGAAACAATTTAGATAGGTCAGATACCTACACATCAGGTATTTTTGCTTAAATATTTCTTTACAGAAGTATCAAATATTTATATCTTCGGTTTTATTGAAAATACAGCAGATGAACCCATGTAATTACACCTACCTCATCTACTTCATTTCTTCTCTCCAGCAGAAGTCGGAACAGATTAGCTGTGATCTTGTTATCTTGGAGACCCTGTCCAAGGCCACGGTTGTCATCCTGCATAAGTCGACGGTCCATAATGACTTCTAACTGTCCTGAAAAACAAATATTGAGGTTATGTTGATGATAGTGGTATGTGCTGCTTTTATTAACCACATGAACGTTATTACTATAAACAGCAATGGTAAAAATAATCCAGATAATATTTCTTGAAGCTAGAGAGTTTGTGATATTGATGGCATTGGGAGGGTTGAATAAGCGTTTTCATAATGCCCTGGCTTTGGTTGCTTATAATATTCTCCAATTTTTACTTATCAGGCTAACATTTTCAAGCAGTGGTCTCTGGATAAGACTGGGTTTTTTTCCAAGTTTGTACAAAAGTTAGTAAGATGTTTGAGCTGCAGGAAAATGACAAATACTTTCCCTGTTATAAAAGAAATTCCAGAAATTTCTATTTGAACAGCTCTAGCCCTACAACAGGGGGATGTGAAAGTTGAAATTTTACAGGAAAAGAGGGGATACTTAGGAGTAACTCTTGTTCTTCAAGAGTTGCCTCTGTGCATTTACACTTATGAGATGGGTCTCTGGCAACAAGCTGATAAACTGCCTTGAAAAGCTTGTGCCCATAGGGGTTGCATGAGAGATATCATGTGAGGGTGAGGTCATTGGCCTATTCCATGTAACGAAGTGAACCTCCAACATTCCTTCTTTCTAACGACAAATGTTACACGGAACTCTGAGGTAGAGAAGATGGGCAGATAAACGCTATGAAACTAAGACCAGAAGGGAATATTAGATTGTCTATCCTGACCTGTATATTTCACTCCATACTCCCACATTAAGCACAAATACTTTATTTAGATTAAGGCCTAAGCAGCTTTCTGCACTGTAACTCCCGAGGTGCACACACTGCCAGCGACTTAGTGCACAGAAACTGCGCAGTTGTAGTGCTCTTAAAAAAAACCCACCCCAACAAGAGGCGTAGAGCTGCTAGGTGGTCTAGTGGCAGAACTGGAATGTGCATGCCATCTATCGTCCCTCCGCAGTTAGGGAAGCCCATTTGTGCAAAACCATCCACAATCTCACTCATGTTGCCCAGAGTCACAGTCTTTCAGAGCAGGATGCAATTAATGGCCCTGCACACTTCCAGCAACACGACTCCAACGGTCGACTTTCCCACTCCGAACTGGTTGGCGACTGATTGGTGGCAGTCTGGAGTAGCCAGCTTCCACAGTGCAATCGCCACGCTCTTCTCCAGAGACAGGGCAGCTCTCATTCTCGTGTCCCTGCGTCACAGGGCTGGGGTTAGCTCATCACACAGTCCCATGAATGTGGCTTTCCTCATGCCAAAGTTCTGCAGCCACTGCTCGTCATCCCAGACGTGCATCACGATGTGATCCCACCACTCAGTGCTTGTTTCCTGAGCCCAAAAGCAGCGTTCCACTGTGGTCAGACCTCCCTGAATGCCACAAGCAAACTACTATGTGTAGCAAGATCGATGTCACACTCCTCTTGCCTTTGTAGTTTAAGGAATAACTCCACTGCCACTCGTGATGTGCTGGTCAGAGCGAGCATCATCCTGGTCAGCAGTTCGGGATCCATTCCGGCAACCCGAAAGAGGCAGGGCGTGCAGTACACAAACTGTTGAAAGATGGCGTCAAATGTGGACGGAAGCACAGGGATTGCTACGATGCGAAGCAATGCATCATGGGTCATTGGGACAGGACCCAGGATGCCCCATGACCTCCTCTGCCTTCCAACAAGGCTTAGTGGCAAAAGAGAAAGAGGTGCTCTGTGGGATAGCTGCCCAGAGTGCACCACTCTGAATACCGCTGCAAGTGCCACAAGTGTGAACATGCTATTGCACAGGCAGCTGTCAGTGTGAACACACAACAACAGTTTTCCTTCTGCGCTCTCTGAGCGGCACTGTAACTGCCGGCACTGTAACTTTGTCATGTAGACATGCCCTAAAGGGGGTGGGAGGAGATAGTACATAAGGATCTACTGAGATAGCACCTAGAGTACTATACACATCTTTCAGCACCACTTCATATGCTTAAACAGGATTTATTCATGAACACTTTTATGCATAAAAGTAAATACTAAAAACTAGTTTGATGAACTGGGTTAGTAGATAGGAAACTTCTATTCACCTTCTCTTACAAGGCAAGAATAAGGGGAAATTCAATTAAATCAAAAGGTAGAAAATTCAAAACTGATTAAAGAACATACTTTTTCACACAACACAAAATTAGATGGTGTAACTCACTGCAATAAGGTATCACTGAAGCCAGAAGCTTAGCAGGATTCAAAAAAATACTTTTATAGATAAACAAAACTATCCAGAATTATAAACGCGAACATTAAAAAAACCCAAGAGCAATGGATTGGATGTAATCCCATCTCCTTAAGGACATAAAATAACCTCTAACTAACGGGAGTTAGAAAGAGAGTTTCTGTGAGAGTCAAGTATCAGAGGGGTAGCCGTGTTAGTCTGGATCTGTAAAAAGCAACAGAGAGTCCTGTGGCACCTTTAAGGCTAACAGATGTATTGGAGCATCCAACAAAGTGGGCATTCACCCATGAAAGCTTATGCTCCAATACATCTATTAGTCTTAAAGGTGCCACAGGACTTTGTGGGAGTAAATCTTGTATGTGACTACTGCATGGATTCCTCTTAGCAACTAGTGCTCGTCACTGCTGGAGATAGGATACTAGAGTAGCTGGACACTAGTATTCTGATTCAGAATGGCCACTCCCATGCTCCTAATATAGTTCTCACACTACAAACTGTAATGTTTTAGACACAGTAAAAATGTTTCCTTTTTCTTTACATTCTCAGGGAATGGATACTATAAAGCATAGTAATCTGTGAAACAATCCTCTGAATACCTGAGGTGATTTAATATGTAGGTCAGATTTTGAAAACCTTTCCCATACTGTACTTACCACTTTTCAAGCTTGTAACACCTAGAGACTGAGCAGAATGTAGAGTCAAACGAATGCCATCATCCTGGATATAAGCCATTGTAGTCATTGGATAGATATTTGCTTGAAGAGGCAATTTGTTCATTGCCACTCTGGGCTGAATCTACAATATCAAAATTAACATCAGTACATTCCATTGATATTTAAATATGTAAAAAAATGCAAAATATCTTTCTAGGCATTTATCTTATATGCTTTGGGAGCAACAATTGATAGACACCAAAGCAAGTCCCTCCACCGTATCATTCAGCTTTGCAGGGACTTATGGCCAACATTACTTCAGAAGTGGTGTAACTTACACATACTTGTAGTTCAAAGTAGTTTTCAAAAAATGAAAGGTCCTTCAATGGAATTTGCATAAAGAATTGTAATGGCTCTTAGCATGAGGAGCAGTATTTTTGAGAGAATTTTTTTTTCTTCTTGTTTAGAAAGTAGATTGTGAATAAGCTCAAAGTAGTATAAGAATTATTCCTAGGATTTCTAGCACGGATATAAATAATAGAAATCTACAGACATTTCTTGCAATCTGTATAGATGTATGTATAGTACTATTAAATGTTCTTTAGTTAAATAAAAAAAAATCAAGAGAAGTTTTAAATAAGTGCAGTACTACTTTGAAATAATTAAATAAAATGGCAATTTCTTACTCGACAGATCTGGGTCCCTATGTACTCAGAATCATATCTGGTGATAATAGTGAAACAAAAGTTTTTACTACTTTTTACTTCTACAAACACCACAGAGCCAACATAGCTAAGAAAAATGATCTGCATTCTTTCCCATCAGATGCATCATCAATACTATGTCTTACTATGTTCCAAATCAATTATTATATAATTTATATGCCTCATATTAGCCGCTAGAGGTCCCAAATAAGATCAGGGCCTGCTAGGCACTGTGCAAACATGTAGTAAGAGCCAGCATCCGCTCCAAATATCGTATAATCTAAATAGACAAGACAGAAAAGGAAAGGAATACAACATATCTATAGGGTGTATGATGATGTTAATGACCTCTTAGTTCAATTTATTTTTATGCTTTGACCCAGAGAACTGTTTTTCAGGTGATCACAATGTGGACTGAGAAAAATGTGATTGCCAGAAATGTTCTTGATACAACTGATGTAGCTTTGAAGTCCATTTTAAGGGTGGATTCTACTTTGCTGTTTGCAGGGGTTTGTTCTTTGTTGGGGTTGGTGGGTTGTTTTGCTTTTTTAAGAGAAGGCACTTTCCTCAGGAAATATCATGTCCTTTGCCATGGATGCTATCACTTTATCAATGTTGGGGAGTATGAAAACGGAATTTTTGGTTTCTTAGATTCTGCAGAATTTCATGGCCTCTTGACAGAGCAGATGCCAAAATACAAACTCTGAGAAGTTATTTAAATCTTAAATTGCCTTGAAATGGAACATATATTTCTCTTTGAAAGTCTCTCCAATATTTGTAACATGCTAACTTCCAGGACTACTAACATCTACTTTAGTACATTATGTAGACTGAAGTTTGAGACAAAAATCTGAGTCTTCTACATATTCTGCAGTACACACAATGCTGATGGCACTCAAAAATAATGAAAAATGAAATTAATTTTTAAAAATATCTCCTCCTCCTTCCAATATTCATGCACAGAGGAGATTATTTTTGAAGACGTCTAAAGCATCATACAAAATTAAAATAATAATAATAATAGTCTATAAACAAAGGATATATTAGTACCATCATATTGTTATAACCAAACACAGTTTTTGTATACAACAAATGTCTGTCTGTCATGACAAACCAGCCTAAAATAAACATTTTTGAATCTTGGAAAAGCCATTCATAGAATTTAAGTGCATCTAAGGCATGTCAGGAAAAATAGTATATATATAAATCAATGCCTACTTTCAAAATAATTAACATTCTCATACTAAACTATTATTTGCTTGGGTAAATAAGACAAAAAAAATCAATTAAAAAAACAAGTATTATGATGATTCTAAATTGTCATAGTCACTATATTCAGAATTAACAGATGGTAATTACCTGATATCCATTAAGGTCAGTGTAAAACCTGTTTTGGCTGTTTACGTCAGATGAAATTCTCATTGCAATCTCACGATTGTATTCTCCTCTAATGTCCACAATATTGGACAGCTCAAGAGACTCACCTTCCAATCCTAAATTAAAAAGTATATTTACAATTTCTGATTATTAAAAAATAAAAACCAAGTTCTATAGAGCTCTCCCCATAGCATAACAATGTTCCAATTCCCCTCGATCAATTTTCCTTCCATGTTAATGTCTACCCTTATAGAGAGAAGTACACCTCTACCTCGATATAACGCGACCCGATAGAACACAAATTCGGATAGAACGCGGTAAAGCAGTGCTCCGGAGGGGCGGGGCTGCACACTCCGGTGGATCAAAGCAAGTTCGATATAACGTGGTTTCACTTATAACGTGGTAAGATTTTTTTGGCTCCCGAGGACAGCGTTATATCGAGGTAGAGGTGTAAGCTTTGAACCCAGTGCATGTATCAGTATTATAGAATGGGCTAGCAGAGACTCTCTACACCACTGCTACCTACCAGATTAGCCATATAATTTTGAAAGCTTCATTAACATGGAGTAGAAAAACGATGTGGATTATTAAAATCTGCAAATTACTAATAGCCAAAACCAGTATAGAAGTCAGCACACCTCCCGCAGGCAACGGAGTGTGCAACATCGTTGCTGGGTCCTGCCCCTGAGCACTAGCTAATGCTCTGGAACAGAGCCGGGCTATTTATTGTCTAGAGTTGCTGCTGCTGCTCCTCCACCTTAAATTGTTGGTGCCTGCTGCTGTTGCTCCTTTTTGGGTGTAGGCGTGCTGTTGCTAGTCTCCTACCACTCCTATGGCAACACTGCTACAATCATAGGAGTGAAGAGAAAGAACAGAGTCATTTGAATATGAGTAAATAGGGCTTTCAAGGGCAGAGAATTTGAAGACTTCCTTTTGATGCGACTGGGAACACAAAGTATATCTGCTGGGCGATGGAGGGGGGAGGGATGAGAACCAGATTTTAAAAGTTAATTAGGTACACACAACCTATGAGGAGTTTCAAAATGGAGCGTACGGGTTAATTTTTGATAAGATAGTATGCCACATCTCGGCCAAAACAAGAAAAGAAAATTATGAAATGTTTGTTTGTAAGCTATAAGCTTCAGACTTAAATTCTGGAGTAAGATTGTGTGCAGCCTTGATCTCATCAAAACATCAAGAAAATCCTCAACTTAATTTCATAGTAAATGGATTACCTCTACCCTGGTTGACCATCTTGTCATGGTTTGGCTTTCTAATGTAATTCTAATATGTTTTTCAACGTATTTCAACAACTAGTAAAAGAGGAAAACAGGGTATACAATCTTTGAACAATTCCAAAATTTAGAATAACTTGTGGAAAAAACATTACAGCTGGTTCTCCAAGAAGATTTAGTGAGTCAGCAGCACAGGGGACAAAAGATGTTTACCGATTTACCTGCTGAATTTTATTTTGACACCTTTGTATGCTGGAGCCATGTTAGCTCTCGTGTCATAACTTTGTCCCCTCCAATTAGCCATATCTAAACAGTCTTTTTTCAGCATCTCTAAAATAACCTGTCATACCCTTCCCTGTTTTGGTGTGAATATCAATGAAATCTACAAAGCAGTCACCAACCTTTTCCCCATTTTTTGATACCTCAATATACCTTAACACTTGAGACATTTGTTCCATTTGGAAGTGTTTGGAATGCAAATACAATGGAGAAGTATTTAAACTTTCCTAAATCTGTCAAAAAATAGTCTACCATGCTTTTTATAGGACTGGCCTTTATAGTGTCTACATGATCTCACAACATGCTACCATGCCTTGCAAGCAATTCAAATAAACACCAAAAATTATCATGACAACTTTCTAATTTCTCATCTGAACCTCTCAAAACTAAATCTCTCACCTAAGCTCAGCAAAATATCCAAGAAATAACGCAAAATATTGTATCTTGTGATCGCAGATTTGCATATCTTTGTCAATTGCGCAGTCCTTTACCAACCACTCTGCAATTTCCATTCAGCGAGCGATTGCCTCCACCTGTTCTTTGAACATTCATGTAGGCATAATCAATTGCTAAAGTGGAAAAAGTTTGTGAACCCAGTTTTACAGTTTGCAAAGGAAGACAAGGAGTTTCACTGGAAAAGCAAACAAGTGAAACAGAACAAGAAGGCAAGAGTCAAACTGCATATCAACCAAGATCACTGGTGCAACTCCCCATTAGAAATTTTGACAAAGAACCACGATTTTAATATTTGCCTTTATTTGCATTCGCTAAGTAAACAGGCTCATTCTAATTGAACGGGACCATTTTCTACCAAAAAAAGGTAAACAGAATCTGTCACTTTTGTGGCCAAGCAGCCAGATCTCGCTTGAAGACAAAATTCTGCCCCATGTTTCCAATAACCAAACCGCTTTCAGAATCCACATCTATAACAGTTGTGCTAGTAACCAATGTGCAACATTCTGCTGAAAATCAGCTTTTGGGACCCAACAATTCAATGTCAGTTTTTTGCCCGAATCAGATACTCCAGAACTGAACAAGCCTGACAAACCCAAATCAACATCCTCACTAGCTAAGGGTAAGGGTAAGAAATGCAAGTAGCAGAACTGTCTGCAGATTGTTTACCAGCAACATGGTCAAATATTTCAAGATATTTTGTAGACCACTCACACTTTTCTGATCATCTTTTTCATGGGCCTGCTACAGCTTGCATTTTCGAGCACCACTCTTGTGCTTGTAGGTATTCATGGCGGAAATCAGAACTGACCATAAGAATTCACCCACCATTCTCTTTATGAATGAATTGCTACGTTTGGAATGACTGCGCTAGAAGGTGAAAGATCTAACGAAACATAAGGAAATCAGGTAAGAGATCATAATATCTCTGTGAAACTCAGAGCTACATCAGGTAAAACTAATGAAAAAGAGCTCAGGAATGCGGATAAGTTTAATTGAGGTCTAGTGAAGGGAACAGTTACAGAGAAGGGTAGGGCCCCAAAATGGAAGAAAAGAGAAAAAAATTAAAGAAAGGGGAGCAAGGCCTGGTTTCACAGAAACCATTGAACTGCCTTTCACATGGCCATTTGGAGCAGGTGGCCCTGAGCTCTATTTCCTACTTATAAACCATGAGGTTCAAACAGTTTAAAATTTTTATAGTGGACATAGATCATCATTTGTATTCCCAAATCACAACTAATTAACAGGTTTAAGATCCAACTTGAGTGGCAAGTAATGATGGGAACAAGTCAGATGTACAGACCAATCTGGACTATTTGGTAAGATGCCATTGTGTGTTTTAACAAAGCCAATTGTGAGGTCATACATAAAAAACAAAGAATGTAGGTCACACTTACAATATGCATGGCTGAATCCAGGAATGCAGTGACATTGAAAAGAACTTAAGGTCATGGTAGTGTGATAAAGCCTTGGTGGATTCTGCGCTTTCTGGAGGATTTGCTTGCCTCAGAGGTTCATGGCAGTCCTCAGTTTGGCTTCTTTTGTTAGTGGCACAAACCTGCCATTCACTTGGCTAACCTCTTCATTGGCCAGCATTGGAAAAAGGAGGAGAACAATCCTTGCAGTCTCTGCTGGCCCACCTAATGGGCCAGGGGACAGGCCAGAGACCTTTCCCTCTAATGGGGACCCACAGTCCAGATCAACTCCTCTTATATCAAATAGGGAGTTGAGGGGATGGGGGGAACCCGGGCCCGCCCTCTACTCTGGTTTCCAGCCCCGGGCCCTGTGGATTGCAGCTGTCTATAGTGTCTCCTGTAACAGCTGAGTGACAGCTACAATTCCCTGGGCTACTTCCCCATGGCCTCCTCCCAACACCTTCTTCATCCTCACCAAAGGACCTTCCTCCTGATGTCTGGTAACGCTTGTACTTCGCAGTCCTCCAGCAGTACACCTACTCACTCTCAGCTTCTTACGCCTCTTACTCCCAGCTACTCACACACGCGCCTCACTGACTGAAGTGAGGTCCTTTTTAAACCAGGTGCCCTGATTAGGCTGCCTGTCTTAATTGAGTCTAGCAGCTTCTTAATTGGCTCCAGGTGTCCTAATTAGCCTGTCTGCCTTAATCTGTTCCAGCAAGTTCCTGATTGTTCTGGAACTGCCCCTGTTACCTTACCCAGGGAAAAGGGACCTGCTTAATCTGGGGCTAATTTATCTGCCTTCTATCACTCTCCTGTAGCCATCTGGCCCAACCCTGTCACAGTAGGTAACCAGTTGAACATGAGCTTCCTGTGCAATATTGTAGCTAAGAGGCAGGGCCGGCTCCAGGCACTAGCTGAGGAAGCTGGTGCTTGGGGCGGCAGATTGTTCGAGGCGGCATTCTGCCCAATCCTAGGGCGGCACTCTGCCCAATCTGCCTACTTTTTTTTTTGGTTCTGCTCCGGCCGCCCTGTAGGGGGCGGCAGCGCAGAGAACCGGAGTGCCCTGCAGGGCAGTCCTCTTCCTTCCCTCCGCGCCGACCGGAGCAGAACCCTCGCGGCAGGAGGCGGCGCAGCGGGAGGAGCCGCGTGGCAGCGCCCCTGCTTTAGCCCTGGCCACCCCCTTCTCTCTCTCTCTCCCGCCTGCTCCCCTTCCCCCCCCCCACAAGCTGGTCCCCCTGCACCCGCGCTCCAGCCACACCGCTAAGGTTTTTTTTTTTTTTGCTTGGGGTGGCCAAAAAGCCAGAGCCGGCTTGGATACAATGTCAAGGAGGAGTAGAGAAGTGGCATTACTTCTAATACACTAGTGAAACCATTATGGAATGTGTGTCCCCACTTAAAAAGAGATGGTGGAAAAACTGGAAAGGGATCAGAAAAAATACAAGAATGATTCAAGGTTTTGAAAGTACATAGTGAGAGACTCAAGCTATCTAGGACCTAATCACATCAGCCATAGCATCAGGGGCTCGTTCACCTGCACATCTACCAATGTGATATATGCCATCATGTGCCAGCAATGCCCCTCTGCCATGTACATTGGCCAAACCGGACAGTCTCTACGCAAAAGAATTAATGGACACAAATCTGGCATCAGGAATCATAATACTCAAAAACCAATGGGA